AGTAGCAATCTTTTAACTAGTTAGGCGAGCTGGTCTTCGCGAACTTTCCATTTGACCAAGTGCAGATAAGGGTGAACTAAAGTAAACTCTCATTAATATTTAAATTGCTACTTTAAAAATAATTTGATTGAAAATTAGATATCCTTACGCTGTAGTCGGAAATTTAGTTATGTGTAACGAAAGTGGGTCAAAAAGAATTAGATCTACACAAGTTGACCACAAACCCTATGTTTTTTTCTATCTTTCCGTTTGCGAATAAGCTTGGGGTACTATAGTCGTTTAATAAATTGAATCAGGCTCCAGCATGGTGCGATGTGGCGCCACGGTCTTGACTGTGAGCACTTTGCGTTTATGTCTGCATTTACGTTTGTGTTTATGTTTGCGTTTATTTGCATTATTTTGAGTTACTTTGTGCGTTTAGGGTTGCGTTTGTGTTTCTATTTGTATTTGCGTTTGTGTTTGCTTTTTTGTACATTTGTGTTTTCTTTGTGTTTGAGTTTGGGTTTGCGCTTGTGTTTTCGTTTTGTTTCGGTTTGGGTTTACGTTTGTGGTTGGATTTGGGTTTCCGTTTTGATTTGGGTTTGTTTTTCGTTTGCGTTTTTGTTTTCGTTTTTGTTTGCGTTTGTGTTTTTATTTTCTTTGTGTTTGTGTTTGCTTTTGTGGTAGGGTTTGCTCGTGATTTTGTTTATGTATTTGTATTTGTTGTATACGTTTGTGTTTGCGTTTGTGTGTATGTGTTTTGGTTTTTGTTTGTTGTGGTTAGGGTTAATTCGAAAAGTAATATATTTCCTAAACCCGGGCAATGCCGGGTATATGGTGATTACTAAACACACAAGTCACGATCCGACCATACGATTGAATTATTAATACTGATACTCACGATATTCGAAGCAGTCATAAACAAATGTAATCAAATATTTACTGATGTCGGCATTTTAAATAAAAGGTGATATTCCTCGATCAGACTGTAGCCATTTAAAATTTATATACCGCAAACAAGACTCCACAAGTTAATCAGCTAATTGCTACCATACTATATATAAAAACGTTAACTACAAGTGAAATATTTAGACTTATTTTTAACAATTTTTCATCGTTTATGGGATATATTTAAACGGGGTCTTTTAAAAATAAAATTCTTTTATAACTACAACATTAAATATAAAAAATTGTGAAATGATTCTCATCTTTAACGTGTAACGATATATTAACAGTGCAATTTATTATTTTAAAAAAACAATTTACAAGTTTTTTCGGATATGATAATGTAAAGGAGGTAATATCACAATAATTTGACATCCATTAGAGGTTAAATGTTTTGCGTAAAGACCTATAATAAAACAACATAATTAACTTTCCATAAAATTTAGTACTTTACAAAGTGTCAACGCGAAAGTTATGATTACTAAAATCTTTGGAAAACTTATTGTTACAGAAATAAAATAACAAGACGTATTGTTGTAATACTAATTATTAAGGATTACACTAGAGATTTCGTAACGTTGAAAGCTCGATAAAGTATTGAGGAACAGTTTCTGCAAAACATGGACCTAGTGATGATTATGCTTTATATATTAATGACAAGTAAAATTGTGTCCAGCGGAAAAATATTTAGTTGTAAAAATAAATGTGGCCAGTATTTTTACAGGGACCCATGCTATTGTAACAACATTTGTTTGGTCTACAAAAACTGCTGTGAAAATTTCCAGACTGAATGCCCGGATGTGTATAGACAGGGGATGTCTGAATTCGAGGAAATGATTCCGTTGGAGGTGACGTGTACGGCGTATGACGTACTGATGATCTCATCATGTCAGACGTCTGATGCTAAGGATACTGAGTCTAACGGTTTCGCAGGTAGCACTTTAGGATATGGACAAGTATGGTCTGACGATGTAGAGAGTAGCACTACAGAAAATGGACATTTGTATGACAGATGTACAGAATGTAAACACTCTGTGGATACAAACACAGAATCTGTTACCTTCGGGGATAGAACAACACAACTTAAACACGTGGGTGACGACAGAACAGATGCCAGTCTCATGGATCATGGAACAACAGAATCTGACAACTTTGTTCATCGCAAAAAACAGTATGCACGGAAGGGAGTAGAATCAGAATCTGAACGTGTAAAATTTAATAGGAATTTCAAACAGCTTCCTGACAACATTCGCAACCAAACAGCACCATTAACAGATCAAGAAACTGTGAGTACTAATTACTACTCATACCTTCTTGCAGCAATGATCAACCCACCAGTTCAAAACATTCAAACTCAGTTGGTTTACAAAAATTTATCGATGTATAAATGTAATGTAAAGAATTTAGCAAATTACATTTCGTGGGAGGCATTTGTGTCCGATAACGGCAAAGGAAACATAAACAATGCACGCATTCAATACAAGCCGCCTTCCTCTAAAAACGACTTTTATAAGAACTGTATCCACAGTGCAATCAGCAGCTGTAAAGGTGGACAGTTCTGGGACAAAGAAACTGAGTTAAAGTGTCAAGCCTTTACCTCCTATGTCACGTTTGATATAGATTTTATTTACAGGAATCGATACTGTTTGTACTGTCACCATGGATGGGAAAGTCGATATGAAAACTACATTCGAGAGAGAGTTCTTCAATTGGGTTTCGCGCTAACATTTCTTCTTACAGATACATATACTCTAAAAATTTCTAGTAACTCCAACATTAGACTCTGGCAGGAGATGACGTGTAGTATTGATGATGAGTTGAGTACGAACTTAGATGATTTATTTGATGATGCTAAAAGATGTAAAGTAGAAAGTTGTATACCAGGTACATTTATACATTCAAACGGTAAATGCCAAATTTCCTATTATCTAAGATTTGCTGTCTATCTAGATGATAAAAACTTGGTTATTCCAAACATTTTTTTCTCGCGGATTCTTGCGTTTGTTTTAACTGAATACGCCCAACTAGATGTTTCTGCAATTCAGGAGAACATAACTCTGTTCAATGCTAAGCAGAACAAAACGTTGTATTCAGGTCTGGTTATGGTTCACCTTCCTGGATATTATTACAACAATTTAGCGATCCGTTACCCCAGAGAGATGACAACAGTTGCGGTGGCTTTCAGCCAGTGCTGGAGAAAGTACTCGAGAACTTTAGCACGTAGAACTCGGGTCAGTGTAGCTGACGCTGTCAAGATGGAGAACATCAACTGGATAACTTTACCAGACGACAACAGCAGTCAACAAAGTCCTGACGATCGTGTTTCCTTCTGTATTGCAATGAGTTCAGCTGATCCGATCGACTACTACTGCACAGTAAACACGACCCACCAGCCCAACACTACAACACTACAAAACCTTCTTCACGTCAACTGTCTGACTTCAAACAGTCATAGCACATTTCATAAAATATCACAGTTTGTTTACATACTGTTTATTTTCTTTTGCATGTATTTAAATTAAAATTGTAAAACCTTTCCATCAATCAAGAGAAAGCTGTATCTGAACATTGTTAAGACAACTACTACATGTTTTGATTATCTAGTTATTGTTATTATTAAAGTTGGATTGTAAAAAAAAAATCATTTACTGTTTGCTTTGCAACATATTATGTAGCGTGCTGATTTGTACAAAATTGGACAAAATAAATCACCAAGATGGCTTTAAATAATGTGATCTCATAAAATATGTTTTTCGAACAGATGTATGTTACACGATTACCTTTCTTCTGGCACATTCAAATACGTTCTTAAATGATTCATTATCCCGTTAATGACGTATGTGTCAAGGTTTCGTACTGATGTCAGATGTGCATTTAGTTACAAGTGTTATTTCATTCTAAAAGATATTTGTTCACAATAAATACATTGCAATCTTCACACACATTTTATGATTTCCTTTGTTGCCTTAAAAAAGTGTTAGTTATGTGGTATTGTTTGCATTAAACCTAAATAGAAGTTCAAATGTTGCCGGAATTCTGTTTTCCCGAATGGACTATTATCCAAATGCGAAAAACGCCAGAAAACCACTTGACTGAAGACCGTTTGCAGGAAAAAAAAAATGTTATGTAGGCCTATATATAGTTCGTTGCAGACATTTTTCATCGGAGGGTCTCCAAAAAAATTCGAGGTGTGGGTGGGGTTACACTTAAACCAATAAATGTATTTGTTTACTTGGTCTTTTTGTCGGAGTCGATGTATCGGGGTCGATTTGTTACAGGTTATTTTGTTGGTGCACATAATCTTCCCATTGGTACAGCACATTAGTTATTACAAGACATCATCACCAGTGAACCGCGGAATAAAAGCAAAATGATACGTTTATGATAAGATTTATCTTTTAAAAAAGCACTAAGAATTTTGCAAATTACTGTTGACTAAGTTTTTATTGTGAGTCCATCCTTACACGAACCAGACATATCACCAGGTTAATCACCCTCTGCAAAGGTGAGGTACAACACCCTTTGTCGACCGCCCAGGTGTAAGGAGTGTCGCGTGGTAATGCTTTTGCTTTGTAAAAGATTATAGTAGCCCACCGAATCTCTCATGTAGCGTACTCTTTAAAAGTATCGATGTCAAAGTGATTGCGCAAATTGCTGAGGACATTGCTGTTTTTTGTTTTATGCATGAAATATTGATGGACAAAAGATAGAAAAAAACATATATATATATATACATATATATATATATATATAGATATATATATATATATATATATATATATATATATATATATATATATATATATATATATATATATATATATAGGCAAGCAGCATGTCATGTATTGCATTCACATGTATATTTCCTGTTGTAATTTGAACCAGTAGTAATAATTCCAAAAATCAGTTATACTCGATCTTAAATAATGAGAAACATGGAACGTTTGCAAACACTTTTGATCATACATAAAACCCCCTAAAAATATGCATGTTGAATAAAATGTTTAATCTTATCTTGTAAAGGAAATGTGTTACAAAGTCTGTGAGTGGAGCAGGAGTATCTTGATGATCTTCTACTATGGCGGGCTAAGCTCACAGAGAAACCTGTGCATTGCGGCACAGTCATAATCACTGAAGGGATACCACTGGTAGTCATAGCGTACACAGTTCTGGCCCCTGCCTCCATTGGGCTGACCTGAAACATATTGACTGTATATCTAGGCTTATCTAAATATATTTTTCAGTTCTATTTTGTATTACGTTTTTAAAACGTGTATCACTTATTTCGGCTTTTAGTGACCCTGTTTAATTTACCTGGATAAAACAGCATGTTTCTCATAGCAACTGAGATCTCCATTCCATCTTCCTCCGACACAAAGTGATCCTCTAGATCGATGTCGTTCAGACCCACCCAGTAGTCCTCAGCTCTACCGTTTATAAAGTTTTTAATGATGGTCAACTTTTCTATAGTGTTAACACTGTAAAGATGTGTTCCCATAGCTGCAAGTATAAGACGTTTTGTCACAAACTACAATTATGGCAACATTCCATTGCTGCGAAATTTTATCACGTGTATTCAAGTTCCTTATTTATAATTTTAATCTATATATTTAGTAGAGGTAAATTAGAAATATAATTTAAGCTATGTTATAATTAAGACCAGATTATAATCAGAGACCTTCGCAGAACGACTTGGCATCTAAATAATTAAGTGCTTGTGGTGACATCCAAAGACAGGCATAGGTTGTTCCTGAATTCAACATCTTAAAATTTTGGGTCGTGTCACAAATTGTAGCACCGTATGTATAGAGGGACTCGTTGGTTTTCAGCACAGGCGTAGAATACAGAGTCGGCCAATAATCTAAAACATGTGTTAAATAATGAAATAAAGAATGTTTGAGGTGTCTTCATTTGATAGACATAAGGATAGGAACTAGATCATTCACTTACTCACTCGCTCACACTGTCACTCATGCTTTCACTGTCTTTCCCATAATTAAATGAACTGCTAAGGATCGATACATAACAAATACAAAATTGTTCATTAGTTTGTGTGCCCTTACTGTACCCAAGTTGACATGTTCTGGTGAACTTGTTGTACAGAAAACCCTGGCACAAATCTGAGAACTTGTTGCATGTTGCAGCACATGTGGACAATGAGAGTTTCCCTGGCTGTGTACTTGATACAATTATGCCTATCTTTGACGACACAAGACGTTTGAACGATCTAGACGTGGTCAGCTTGTTTGAAGACACTGAATTAAAACAATTATATATATATATATATATATATATATATATATATATATATATATATATATATATATATGTATATAGATTATTATTACATAACTCTACCACTGGTAAATATTACGCAATACCCGGATTCGTTTGGGATGGTCCTAGACTGATGAATTATGAAACTAAAAAGACTACCAGAAAAAAAAACTCTTTGTGGACTCGATTCTAATGTCTAGGGTAAAAACCAATACAAAGACCTTCTGCAAACAATAAACTTTTAATCAATCTAAATTCTAAAACCTTCTAAAATGTAAACAAGACGAAATAAATAAAATACTATGTACTAAAATATGCAATGATGAAAAAACCCAACTTACAATTTCTGGAATAACACACTGAAACTATTAACGCTTTATAAGGTACCTCAGTTATCACCACAAACTACACGTTATTAAAATAAGACACAGAAAATTACTGAATACACTGGAACTTACAGATAATTACCGCTTAATCTAAAAAATACAACATGGCGTGTGGCTCTCTCTCTTTGTGGGTGTCTAGTGGGCTCCTCGTGATATATATATATATATATATATATATATATATATATATATATATATATATATATATATATATATTTATTTATTTATTTATTTATTTATTACTAACATATACTCACACTAAAACATACATGTTTGTGTTTATGTTTACTTATCTAATCAAGAATATTCTTGACTTAAAGTAATAAAATATTTTACCGGATTCTTATATTTCAACACTTGAAAACAAAATTTACCTGTATTTAAATCATGTAGTAGTATAAGAATATACAAGTTAATCTCTAAAATAATTTTCATTTTGTTCGCCCAGATGAACTGAATACCTCAAAACCTTTCCCATACACTCAAATGTAGTTTCAAGTGTTGCTTGCTGTTCAGGCTTAGGAGCAACAATGGAATTGTTGTTGTCTCTAACCATTTTAATTGATTTGAAATCGTTATGTTTTTTATATCAGTTCTTGGTACAATTCACCTTGAACATTCTGTATGTGACATACCTGATATATTGATCTTTCCGGACAGACCAATGGTTTCCTTAATGGCGTTTATGTCTGAAGATTCATGCATGAGAACAGAAACATAATACAATATTTTTTTTACATAACTGTAAAACATTTTCCAGCACAAAGATTTCAAGTATATTATTTTGCATACGGCATTGAAAATCAATGGTTTCAATATACAGCTTTTGTGCATACAATTGCTTCACACAAAATAATATTAATTTTATAGTAGCCTATATATATCCACACAAGTACGATATACGTAACATAAGCAATAAATAGATATGACATATGTGCCAAACCTTTCCTTCAATTAAGGACAAGTAACAAAATGGCAAGAAAATGTTACGAGGATTGTATAGAAATTAAATAACATAAAATGACATAAACTGAAATAAAATGACGCGAATTTGGCATGAATCTATACTTTCTCAACACGTTCTACTCAATGAGCCATGTATTGATTCGCTGTGTACATCTTTCACAAAGCCACTAGTTCATACCTCACGCTCTAATGAATTTCGCTGAATGATTCAAAGCTCGGTTGACATTTTGATGCCCGAACATTACACTACAAAAGATGTATACACTGGTGTCTTCAAGGCTAGAGAGTAAACTTCGACACCGTGGTCAACAGGATGGCATGCGTGTGTTTACCAACGTGTGTAGGTGTTTATTTTTGTTTGTAAGCAAATGTAGTTTTTTGAAAAGTAACCGCAATTGTTTTTAATGTAAAACATTTAAAATCAAAATTGAAAATGTTCGCGACTGTTGAAGTAAACGCAATCCATTAAAAGAATGAAAACATTAGCACGGGCGATTTGTATTTAGTTTTTATGGTTATGTCGAGAGACGTCCCAGAATCCTCCCTGCTCTGATGTATCTCGGCACGGTGGTGGGACGTCTAGAGCCAAAGTTCCCATTTTAAGACTATCGATACATAAGACTTCTGAAGTAGAGTTTACATGTTACTTGACATCGGCTTATGAATGTATGGTGTGGTCAGCACTATGGCCAGCCGTCTAAGGGTCTTCCATTAGTCACAAGTCCGGATCTACCACTCGAATACGCCGTCCCCGTCTGTAGTTCAACGTGATATAAACAGTGATGCCTTTAGTGTAAAGTGAATCAGAGTACACCTAGGTCTGATAGGAACCAGTTACAACTATTGTCGGTCTACGCATCAACAAAGTGTTCGACTGTACACAAAGAGTGTATTCTTTCAACAAACCTGATGATTTCATGGAAATCAAACTTAAAGCATGAAACATGTAGTATTATATACTGATGCTGTAAAGATTCGTAACGGAAAACTGCGCTAATACCAACTAATTATACTAATACACAAAGGGTAACTACATACATTGTATAATAAAACAAATGTCCACGAAATATGACACAATTAAAATGTGTTAATATAATTAGCTTGTATTTGCGCATTTTTCTGTTTGCACAACTTTCGATTGCACAGTTTTCTGTTTTAGAATTTTTTTGGGAACACGATAGGGCCTATACCATATGCGGAGAACACAGAAATGTATAAACTCTACTTCACCTGCATCAGATGAAGCCTGTCAGTTTTATCTGAGCGCACCCATCCCTAATGGGTGCTAGGCATGCATCTGTCGGCTTATCAATGTGCGCATAACTATAACGGGTAGCAGTTACAACTGTTGACGTTTCATAAAAGAACTCAGTTTTCGAGAGTAAGCGAAAACTTGGGGACATAACAAGCTGCCACACGCATCACTCAAAACCCTAGATAGATAGCACAAATAGTACTTTAATAAATAAATAAATAATACTTTATTAAATACGAGCCGACCCGCAGCGTATCATACGCCGCTATTTAGTTGTTTAATTTTGTACTTTTCAGTAATTCATAATTTGTGAATTCGACAGCACCACCAATGCTGCCACTGAAAATATTTGCTTTAAAACACTAACCCCACCCCCTTTCCCCTAACCCCGACCCTACACCCCCCCCCCCCCCCGTGAAAGCAGCCTCCTCTTAGTTATTTCTTAGTTACCTCCTGTAAGTTTAAAATCGAACTAAATTATCTGCCCCTAATAGAAACCCGGCTCTACGGCTCTACGATTTGTAAACATTTAGCTTTGTAAACATTTAGCGTGACCACAGCTCACCAGACAATGTGGGGGTGGGGTGGGGGTGGTAGTGATAGTGATAGAGAGAAAGAGAGGGGACTGCAAGGGGGCGCTTGCAGCTTGTTTTCTAACGGCTCCCAGAAGAGAATTATATATATATAGATTTGCTTCTGTAGGATGTAAGTCAGCGTTTCCTGAGCTTAATTTTTAAAGAACGTTCAATGGAGTGGGTGGAGTTCGGACGAGTCCAGGACCGAAGGATGCGAAATGTACTCACAACTTCTACAAACTTCAAGACGGTTCCCAAGTTCTTGTATATATATATACACACACACATATATATATATATATATATATATATATATATATATATATATATATATATATATATATATATATATATATATATATATATATACATATATATACATATAAAACTGTTATTTAAAAAACAAAAAGACTACTTAGTACCACTATACACATGCTTACACATATTGATTAAAACATTATCCCTTGCCTGACGGTGTTTTGTTTCTCAAAACTTTAAAGAAATGGTGTATAGATTTTCGATCTTGTAATTATGTTTCATTATGTTTCACTGCATCCGTTGTTTTAGTACATAAGGTATTGATCCCTAGCCCGTCGCTTGATTGCTTTTCTGGCTTTAGCTGGGGAAGGAAGTACAGGGAACGTTGAACATTTTGTTTTAATATTTCGTTCATTAAGTGAAAGCAATACAATATTATAAAACGGTTTATTAAAGAAACGGTTAAATCAATAATTAAAGCGGCATTAGTTGTTTTATGAATCACCAGCGTATAACACTGAGCATTAAACTTATTGGGTATTGTAGATCTCATAGTCCATTAATAATCGATACATTGATCAGTTTATAATTGATGGTTAGCTAGTTAAATTTTAGTCATCAGTTAGATCACAGGTTTGAGATTTACAATTGACATTCATAAAAGAAATTCAAACAAAAATGGTGTTCCAATTTTCTTCTGAAGTTTGTATGACGTTTATATTGATCCAGCTATCAAATGCAGGCATGTACTTTTTATCTCCATCATTATAATCATTTTTGTTTTCTTTTCGTACCCAAGACACATGGGGCAGATGAAGTAGAGTTCATCTGTTTCAGAGACCTCGGCATATGAAGGGATAGTGTGGTCAACACTATGCCCAACGGCCTTTTATTTTAGGTACACATCAGATCTGGGTGAACTCAGGGACGTTCTACCGACTTGAACCAGGATTTGAACTCGAGACTTAGTGGTTAGTAGTCTTCCTCTCTACCTTTTACGGTATTTCTGAAACAAAACACTATTTTTAAGTTTTAATGTAAGTGATCTTTTTAGCTAGTTTATATTAGCTGATTGTTCATGACTGTGCGCGATGCTTTGACCACAGGTAATTTGACTATATGATGTTTATAAATAGGTTTGTCCACTGACGCTTTGGTCATTTAAAAATGGCAGCCATAAGGGCTTTTAAACAGACGTTATGTGTGGCCCACATTACAGGCCGTTAATTAATCAAAGTGTAACACAAATTGTACTCAGGTCAGGTCTAATACTGAATGGGATATGCCCAACACAATTTAGTTCTACGTCTCAACATGCTATAGGCAATAAGTGCCCGTTTTCTGTGGTTGTCGTGTTGGTTTTTCTATGACAGGTACCACAGTCTTCAGGTGTGTTTGTTTACTTCAGGTGTGTTTGTTTACCTCAAGTTTTCAAGTGTTTCTCTATACCAGGTAACACAATCTTCAGGTGTGTTTGTTTACTTCAGGTGTGTTTGTTTACCTCAAGTTTTCAAGTGTTTCTCTATACCAGGTAACACAATCTTCAGGTGTGTTTGTTTACTTCAGGTGTGTTTGTTTACTTCAGGTGTGTTTGTTTACCTCATGTTCTCATGTGTTTCTTTATACCAGGTAACACAGTCGTACAGGTGTGTTTGTTTACTTCAGGTGTGTTTGTTTACTTCAGGTGTGTTTGTTTACCTCAGGTTCTCATGTGTTTCTCTATACCAGGTAACACAGTCTTACAGGTAAGGTCCTACTCACAGGTTAGCTCGTACTACATGTCGCCCTTGAACTTGACTATCAGTAACCTGACCTTGACCCGATGTGCAGCACACTGTGACCGAAGCGCCGAGGCGTGTAACAGCTTTACCTACAATAAACAAACACAGGTGTGTCAACTAGGTAAGGCTTTAGTTTGAAGATTTTAGTTGAGTTAACCTGCTCTCATTTTGGTCGATATTTTTACATAGGTAACTTTAATTCATAACATTGTACACATTTTACTTAGGTCACATAATCTGTCCGTTGGTGAGTGGGTATGTGGTAAAATCTTCTAACTCAATTCTAACTCACTTCCACACAAATGTATTTTCAATGACGAAGTAGCTATAACTAATATTCTATCTAATGTGATATTAAATTAATCATTAAAATTATTTTAAAGATTACCCTAATTAATAGCTAAATTGGATACAACATGATTAAGTACTGCTGATCGTTAAATTGTATATAACAGGATTCAATATTATCGATCTGTTGATTAGCCATGTAAATGAGTTGAATAGCGTTCACAATATATTTTCTTACTTACAGCCCGTCATAAGGGCATATAACTCTACTTGAAAGCGAAAACTTAAAGCTAGTCAAATGAGTTTGAAGCAAATGCGTATTGTCGTGTACAAAGTCGACTTCAGAACAAAATAAATTGGAAACAAAATTTTATTGTACTGATTAATTTTCAAACTAATAAATCAACAATTTTTTTTTAATATTTAAAATGATTAAAAGATAGAGAAAACCTTTTTTAAACTAAAGTTTAGAAAAATTTATCAAAGTGGCTAAACTTGGTCAGACATTATAAGAACTGGTAGGCGAAGTTGCTAATTATATAGGCCTACAATTTGCTGTACATATTAAAGAAGTCTTTACACAAAAAAAAATTAAAAAAAATAGAAAAAAAAAATAGGCCTACAATTTGCTGTACATATTAAAGAAGTCTTTACACACAAAAAAAAAAAAAAAAAAAAAAAAATAGGCCTACAATTTTGTCTGTTCGGTTATGAACTTGCTGTTATGTTTTTTTTTATTTCTTTACTTTATAAATTCTGAGTTAACCATACATTTTGTGCGTCTATTTTCAACAAGGCTGTACCTACACAATCAGGCTGGGGAAAGGTTATTGTTCAGGTTTTTGGGGGGGTAACTGTATCCTTTTATGGTAGACCTGCCAGTTTTAGGAATAACCTACCAGCTTTAAGGAATAGATAGGAGTGGCTTACACATTACTATTACCAAAATGTTAGAAGAAGACGCATTAATTTACATACCATAGAGAGAATAGCATATGGATCTTTTTGTAGAAAAGTGTGAAACAGTTTATTATCAATATATTTCTATACTCTAATTGTAAATCGATTTGGATTTTAAAAGTATGTTATGTGGGTTTAAAAACAATTTTATTGTACGCCATGATTGGTTAACACGAGGCTAAATGCCAGAGACTGTTCACTCACATGTTTGTACGTAGTTCACAACACAACTCCGTCTACACGTTCATCAAACTAAAGGCCATACACCGCTTGCTTCTATTTATCACATCATCACTGCGGGTAAAAGTTTACACTAGATCATTGTTTAGAGGTTTTATCCCTGGTACCACCACAGGTGCCTGGGCAGAACAGACGCCATCACCAACGTCTAACGCCGACAACAAAGTCTACACGGCACAAGCCTTCTGCACCACATCTGCCAACTTCACCCTCGCCAGCAATGGATCCGTGTCGACATGTCTTTATTTATCTCAAGAAAATCTGAATTATTCTGACGCTTCGTTGGCATGCAAGGGTAAGTATAAAATACTAGTTTCGTTGACCGTAGGTCGTTTGACCACAGCGGGTAAGTATAACACTTAAGATTAATTTTATGCAATGATAAGTATATCATTTCAGATTAATTTTTCGCAAGAGTAAAAATAATATTTTTGATTAATTTTATGCAAAGATAAGTATAACATTCTAGATTATATTTTTGCAAAAGTAAGAAAAATAGTCTGGAGTAATTTTTGATTATGTATTTTAATGGATAAAATTGGCCAAATCAACTGCAAAATTGACACCTATTGTCAGAGGCGTAGCGAGGGGGGGGGTGCGAACCGCACCGGGTGACACCATTTAGGGGGTTGACACCAAGGCAAAAAAGAGCAAAATATATAGAGAAAAACTTGAGGGGGGGTGCAAATCGAAAGTTTGAGGGGGGTGCAAATCGAAAATATGAAAGCTTGTCCCCGGGAAGGGTCGCAACACCTCTGGGGGGTGACACCATAAAGTGCCGCACCGGGTGACACCGACATCGCTACGCCACTGCCTATTGTGCCCCTCCCCCGTCTCGAAACACCAGGATACAAGAGTAAAAGGATACTTAAATTTTAAAAGATTTAGTCTTGAAATATTTATTTTAAAGCCGATTGTTTTAATAGTACAGGCTGTAAATAATTGCTCAACAGCTTGTTAAATTATAGCAAAAAGCATCACTTTCAGATTTTCAGTGGCGTAGGCAGGGGGGGGGGGTTAGGGGGGTCATAACCCCCCATAGACCCCTCGGTATATATATATATATATATATATATATATATATATATATATATATATATATATATATATATATATATATATATATATATATATATATATATATAAAGTATGAGGGGGGGTGTAAATAGAAAGTTTGAAGGGGGGTGCAAATCGAAAGTTTGTCCCCGGGTAAAAATTGGAACCCCCCTTGAGACGATCCTGGCTACGCCACTGCAGATTTTTAAACATTTTTGTGAATCAATCCGTTATTTCTTGTTTTCAGCGTTAGGTGCACAAATGTACACGATTAGAGAGATGGAAAAGTTCCACATCATTATCAAAGCTCTAAGCAAAAGTAAGGAAAACTACTGGATAGGTCTGAGTGATGTGGTGAGCGAGGGCCACTACGTATGGGAGGACGACGGCACGGAGATTACGTCAGAGATGAAGTCAGCCATATTTGCTTCAGGTAAATCAACAAACCGTACACTGCTGAACTGGCTCTCATTATACTATCTTTAGTTAGAAGAATATGAAAACGTAAATATGCATTGAATTGAGTTAAATACTTTGTTGATTAGTAAACTAAAATACTTAAACTGGATTTAATTCAACTACTTAAACATTTGTAATTAGAAAAATATGAGTACCTGCATGTGGTTTCAATTTAACTCTATAAATAAATTAATCAGAAAACTATGTTGTTTTATTTTGGCTAAATGTTAAGTAATAAACTATAAATAGGTAAAAAAAATTGTTTAATTTAACCAATTACATATTTAGAATAGAAAATTATAAACAGTTGCCATGTTTAATACAACTATTAACAAATATATTTCATTCATTTACCTATATGTAACGCAGGTACAGATCAATTATTTTATTACTTTTACTAAGGCGTTTTAAATTGTTTTTTTTTATTTCTGTTTTAACAATAATGATAACTAATTTCTCTAAGTAGCAGCTAGGGTTAAAAGCAGGTCAAGCAGAAGGTATCTTGTTTGGTTGTCTCGTTAGCGGAAAAGATGGGTTGTCATCACCTTCGGTACTCATCTGGGTGAATACCAACATATGGGAACTAAGCACACGACGTTTTTCTTATTTCTTAAATGCTCTAACACTGAACTACTTCGTTATAATACTTTTCAGAAAACGCAACAAGCATTGATATAAGTTGCTACTGAAACAGACACAACTGAAAACATGTTTACATAATCCTCAACCGCATGACCGTGTGAGGCGGTTTATTAAAATTACTAAATAAATATGTTGTCTCTTTTCAATATTTCAGGAATGCCTTATGGATATTCTTTCTATGACTGCATACGTTACGTCTATACCTGGTTCATGTTTGGTGACCACAACTGTGCTAATATGTACAAGTTTGTTTGTGAAAAGACTCCAACACGACATATGTAGTGCATATTTCTACACACCACATCTATACTTGATTCATGTTCGGTGACTATAACTGTGCTAATATGTACAAGTTTGTATGTGAAAAGACTCCAACACGACATATGTAGTGCATATTTCTACACACTACATCTATACCTGATTCGTGTTCTGTGCTGTCAACTGTGCTAATATGTACAAGTTTGTATGTGTGAAGACTCCAACACGACAAATGTAGTGCATATTTGTACACACTACATCTATACGTGGTTCATGTTCCATGGTGTTCGGTTATGTCAGGTGTGCTAATATGTACAAGTTTGTGAGAAGACTCCAACACGACATTAGTGTATGTTTGTATACACTACATCTATGCGTGGCTCATGTTACATGGTGTTCGGTTAGGTCAAGTGTGCTAATATGTACAAGTTTGCTTGGCATGGACAGAACAGCCCCCTAAAATACTTGAAGAAGTTTATCAACGTGAAATTAAATATTTGTATAAGGTGAAATCGCCGTAAGACATCTTGTCTGGCATACTTTGCTTATTAGTTATCAAAAGCCAGAATGTTATATTTCTTTTTTTTTTTACTTTTAATGGCAATAAAAGTTCAATTAATATATTTATAGTATATTTTCAATTGGTATATTTATAGTATATTTATCAATTAGTATATTTATAGTATATTTTCAATTTGTATATTTATAAATCTTTATTTTCTAATGCATGCCGCTCTAATTAAACTAATGGTAAACTAAAGATTAACTGAAAGTATAAATATCGATACTATAGAAAAGTGTTAAACTAAATCTACCAGAAATCGAAATATATATATATATATATTTGTTTTTCAAATTAAACTAGCTATAACCTAAACAATGTACTAAAATTCAAACTATCAGTTAAAATTTCAGCATTACTACACGGATTCGAACTCACGACTTTCGGGTTAGTAGACTAGCTCTCTACCAGTAGACCCTCCCTTTTTAATTATATATGACTTAGTAACATTCTACTTTATAAACATAACCTGTCATTAGTTGCCTGGTACCTCTGTAAGTAACCTCACGACTGTAACAATAATAATAATGTTAATAAATTAACATTACATATAACACAAACGCAGTTGTATTTTATATCATCCATTGTGCTTGGTGTCCAGATGACAGCTGATTATTTGAGCAATTGGTCCAATTCAACAAATATCACCACAACAGGGAGCGCTACTCAAACAATGCTAAAGCGCATGATTTCAATGGTTAGCTCCCCTGTTCATTTAGGCACTTATCAATGCCAAATGAATGGGCGATATTGCTACGCAGAGTGGCCACCCCTGCCTTTAAGAAAATGTTACCTAATTCCCTGTGGCGCCACCTACCGGCGCTTTCTTAGAAATACGGCCCATTTCTTGTTACATTTCCAGTGACATGCTATGCTATAATTTCCAACAATGTGTTCATCGCTTTCATCATTTTCTTTCTTGAAAATTAGTTTTAAGCTAGCTTGAATGAAAATATTATTTTTTTCACTACTCCGATGATGGTTCACCGAGGTGCATCATTAACAACGATTTACAACACAATATATATAAATGTTTAACAAGTCATTTCAGTTCACTACAACAAACTATTCCAAAAACATTAATCTACAGATGCAGAACATCAATACGACATCAACAAAACATTAACAAAACTAAAACAAAATTGAAACAAAACAATTTAAAAAACGTCCACAAGATATACACAATTCATAAAAAAACGTTTTGAAAACAAGCATTTAGATCTATGTAATAATGCACTAAAACGTAGAAATTATTGATTTTCTTTAAATATATAATAATACACTACTATTAAAATGACCATAAGGAAAAGCGTGGGTCGCTATATTATCCATTGGATAGCCTACCTTTACTAATATTTAGGAATGAACCACGCTTTTCTAATACTTACTTTAAGAGTATTGTATATAATTTTGCGGATGCATTCAGAAATTTAAGCACACAAAAAAAACCAATAGTTGTCTTGATCGATGTGTGACTATTTAAACTAATTCTTGGGTAAAAAAAGTTTACTTAATACCATTAACCATTTTAGCCTTCAGTGCTGTAGCTTAATGTCAAACTAAACTTTTTGTTACGTTTTGATTGATGCCTCTATTGTTTAAATGTGGGGAACCATTTCGTCATTCCATCTTTTACATTGTAAATGGACATAACAAAATCTAGAATTAGTTTTATTTGCTTGCCTGAAAGAAATTTAAAAAGGTCAATTGAATTGTTTAAATCTAAAGCAAAGTAGATTTTTATTTGATTAGCGTTGATTGAAGTTTATGCTTTTTAAATTCCTATTGAACTAAAATCAATAAAGTTGTTAAAGGACTATGATCGACGCTTGAACTACGGTTTGGCAGAGAGAAAGAAATAGATAAAGTAATCGTTTAAGTGTCGTTAACATCTGAAGGTAAAATACTGAACACGTAGAAAAATAGTCGGCACTTTGAAATTTACGAAGAATGGCAAACTACCTGATGAAATTGAGTCTTATTCTAATTTTTATAGGGATGTATGTAAATGGTAAGTAGAATCATCGACAAAATTCAGGACAATTTCATCATTCCTTTTGATGAAAATTAACACAGACCATTCACCGTAATTATTTATTTAATTTAATTTTTATTTGTTATATATAATAAGAACAGAATGGTATAAACAAATTGCGGAACATTTAGAGGTGTACATTTTAAAGAAACATAATCAATTAATGCAATGTCATAAACACTCTTGACTCATTATCTAATATCAAACGAAAGCAGAATTGATTGCTAAATTTATAAAATTATGTATTGATAACTTATTCTATATTCCTAAAATTAAACTGAACTTTTATTTGGCGTTTGAGTATTTAACAAAATTGCGTGAAGAATTTTCAATATTCCATTGTACTTTAATAACCATGAGATATGTTTACATATGTGTATATATTTTGTTAAGCTCTAGGCTTGAAGAGTGAAAGAGACTACTCACTAGTGAAGACGACGTATGCCAACATGTCGCAGGTTTTGCTCGAGATGTACAACGTGTCGCTCATAGAATGTGCTGTTGGTTGTACGCAGAGTCCTCTACCCTGCTACTGTTTCACCTACACGAAGTTGTCTCGCCACTGTGGTTTAGGTCAGTAAGTGTGTACATGTGTATTTAGGTCAGTATGTGTGTACATGTGTATTTAGGTCAGTAAGTGTGTACATGTGTATTTAGGTCAGTAAGTGTGTACATGTGTATTTAGGTCAGTAAGTGTGTACATGTGTATTTAGGTCAGTAAGTGTGTACATGTGTATTTAGGTCAGTAAGTGTGTACATGTGTATTTAGGTCAGTATGTGTGTACATGTGTATTTAGGTCAGTAAGTGTGTACATGTGTATTTAGGTCAGTATGTGTGTACATGTGTATTTAGGTCAGTAGGTGTGTAACCGTAGATTTGTTAGAAAGAAGTCATCAACGACTTTGTTCCAGTGCCGTGGTCGTTATATGTAGTCGTATATTAGTACATCCTCCTGGGGGTACGCAAGTTGGCAAACTCTCAACCAGTCTATCTAAACTAAAACTACAGAAATACTAAACTAATACATGAAACGCGTTACACTGTTTAAAAAATACGTGTACATTCACCAGAAGCTATATACACACGCTTCACATTAGGAAAAAAACATTTCTGTGTAATTTAGTAAGCCAACTGAAAGATTTGAGTGTTTTCGAGACGACTGATAATACAATTAACAAATACATAAGAAATCAAGCTTTTCAATAATGCCGAATACTATATGAGGAAGGATCGTAGAGGGCGTAGACAATTAAAAAAACGATTATTTTTTAATAAATGGGGTCATATAAATTGCAGGAAATTTTTGACCGCATTAATTAAAAAAAAACATATTATAAAGAAAATCAGAATTTTTGTGAGTTTTTTTTTTGTTTCGCATATCCCCTTAACATTCTTGTGACAGCCTGCCTCCATTCTCATAATAATCTACGGCACACAGTTTTCTCACCCCATTTATTCCACTTTCATACACACATTTATCTTTCTTGACGAAATTCAACAAAAAAAAAACAACTCTGAACCTCAACATTCCAGTTTTTTTGTAAACTATTTGGAACTGTCTCTAAAAAATCAACAATCAACCCGTATTCAAGTATATTGTGATAACTATAAATACTGACTAATCAAATTCAAATTAACAAACAAAAAACGCCCTCATAACTTCCCAACCAGTGTTTCTTCCAGGCATCTCTTCGGGGTGGGGGGGGGGGGAAAGCCCCCCCCCCCTCCCCCGAAAAAAGTCTGCCCCCTCCCCCCGAGCAAAATGGAATTTATATAGAAAACATATACTTTTACCAGTGTCCGCCCCCTCCCTCCCCCCAGAAAATGTCCGCCCCCGGAAAATATCAAGTGCCCCCCCCCCCCCCGGAGAAAAAAGTCTAGAAGAAACACTGTTCCCAACTCACATGCTATACAGATAATCAGTCACAAGCTAACATTATGGGATACGATTTTTACTTTGATTTAAATCAGCCATAAGGCTATATGTTTGTGTATGTTACCTGTACGTTCAAACTTCTGACTAGGTTCGCGTCTCGTCCCGTCCACCACCCCCACAATACCAGCTGAACAGGCTGTCTACTCGACCAGTCAGTACTGCAGTAACTTCAAGAACTTCACCTTACTGCGAAATGGTGACGTGTACGCCTGTATGTGGATGTCTGACTATAACGTCACCTATGACGTTGCCAGGAACACATGCAAAGGTAAAATAAAAAGTCTGGAATAATACACCAATTAACACGTCCTAATTATTTCTGTAGTGTACACGTAAAGTAGCAGACACCGTCTACTTGTTGTTGTAGGTACTTGGACAAAAGGCTAACTGTCGATACACATCAATTATAAACGTATACATATTTGTATATTATTGTTTTTTTTTTAATTCTAAAAAGGAAATAATAAAAGTTTAAATGAAGTAACTATTA